TTTTTTTTTTTGTTTTTTTTTTTTTTAGTTTCCGTTACGCTTTATTTCGGCATACAGGTGGCCACATTTTTATATATCCCAATTTAGACTTAACTCATCGATGCTGATCATCTTTGATATAAATAAGAAAAAGATAAATCAATGGGTTACACGTTGGGTTCAATTAATACACGGTCACAGCTTCGTGAGGCAGTCGGTAAAGTTAGCACGACCTCATTTTTATTTCATGCGATTTTCCGAGTGTATCGTAAATTCGATTACTATCATTTATAAATAGGTAGTTGAAAAATTGACATCGTGCGTGATTATCGTTAGGTTACGCGTGGAGGATATGTATACATATCTGCTGATTCTAGTTGCGCTGGTATGTACGTGACGAACAGACAAACAAGACGCAGAGCAACATTTCGTATATCGATAGATTCACTGAAAACTATCTCACGCTAGTACTGCTGGACGGCTACTGTCTACTCCAGAATGAATAAAGAGCAGCGTCATGCCGAGTGTATCGCTGAATTTTTATTTCAACGATATTATCACCGAAGTGTTCCCAATTAATGAATAATAATATATTATAAAATTTCATATAAACGTTATCTTTTGATCCAGTATCTGGACCGAATTTACTTGGCCCAAATTTAAAACCGATCTTGAAATATCTCGAAAATTAAAGCCGGGCGATAGTAGCACGTATAGGGAAAAGTTACTCGGAATATCGTCCTCTGAAATATATAGGATCAGATTTCATTAAAAACTTCGTATTATCTATATTCAACGGTCTCCGCTCTATAGACAGTTATTGGTCGAAAAGAATTCGTTCAAGTATTAATCGTAACATGGACGTTAATTAATAGAAATTATTTTTGTTAGCATTATGAAAGCCTTGTCTAATTGTAAGTTACCAAGTAATTTAATTAACACAATTTATAAGTAAATCGAAAACAATTTATGATACCGCTACTTTAAAATCGTTTATGCACTTTGCTCTTCAACTTGTTTCACAAAATAAGCTATATTTCGTTACTTGCCTGATGAAACAATAATTTAATTTCAACCGAAACTTCCCATTACACCAGTCCGCTTATTGAAACACGATGTTTGAAATTAAAACTGCCAGGTAAACACTGGCAAAGGCGTCATCAACGAGGCGATAATCGTCCAACGATTGTACGATTCCTATCGTTCGTTTAATTGCCTCCTCCATGGAACACGCAACTCCGCGCGGTTAAACAACATCCTGATCAATTACCATTAATAAGGGCTGCCAACCCGTCTTCGACATTCAAGACGCTAAACCAACAATTACGTCCGGCAATAAAGTCGAGCAACCCCTCGTCAGAAATTAATACGGAATTCACGAGAACCGAACCGCTTAACGATAAGCACGTATCGTAGGCTCGATTTCCTTGACGTTTAGCGTTCCACGACACAGGGGGTAAGAAAGCAAGGAACGAGAGGAGAGGAGAGGTGGAGGAAGGTGGAAAGGGAGAGCGCACGACTTTCCGCGTTTTCCTCGATGCTGTTCGTTTCAGAGGGTTTCGGAGGGTTTCGACGGCGCGTTCGGTTTCCTTGGTGACCGAAGGGAATGCAAAACTGAACCGCACGGTTTGTATCAGCCACCCTTTCTCCCACTCCCCTCGAATACTGCCTGTTTGTATTTCATATTGATAGAGTATTGATACAGCCCTCGTGTAGCCCCTCCACTCGACAAACTCACCCCTTTTCCTCATGCCTCTGTGAACCATCGTGACGAACCGTTACAACCGGTCCCGGGAACGTAAACGAGCATGCCGTGAGTTACCATTTCGACCGAGTCACGTGTTTACTTTGTTCCGCATTGTTGCACCTCGCTAATGGCCGGTGCGAGCATTTTCCTCGGCTGTGCTAGGCTACGTGTACCGTTATGCGTGTCTCTAGTCGTATCCTGAAAGGCAGTTATAACCTGCACCCACAATGGATGGATCTCTTTTAGCGAATAAAGCAAGAGGACCGAGATAAAGCACGAGTGCGCGAGAGGAAGCGGATGAGAAACGGGATACGAGAGGAAGGGTCGTGCGTTGAAACGAATGTGGCGAACTGTCCAAGTCTAGACTCTGGACACACCTAAATATCCTAGTTACCTTTGGACTAACGAAAATTTAGTCCGGTACATTTGGAGCGAAAAGCACAGAGAGAAAGGGAGAATTTTATACGCGTAGCTTAAGAGATAAACAATGATTGTAACGTACGTCTATTCGCGATCGTGGTACATTAGCAGACGCGTTTAATATGCAATAAACGTCTGGAAGAATAAAAATATTAAAAACGGTTGCTAGATATCGAAGTAATATAAATAGAACAGTTTTTAGATAATAATGTTCTAAATAATTTGTTAGTAATTGTTATGTACTTTGCGTTCGCTACGTCTGCTTAAACCGTGAACCTTGATCAATATGATTAAAAGAATGAATTTTAATAAAGAATTACCTTACCTAGTAAATGATAAAACAAATATTATACCTCGGATATTTTTATATTTTTGCATCTTTAAATCTTCCGTAAGCGCATAAAAATCAGCAGCCTACTCGCGATGAAGCGATTTGTAATTTTAAAAGAGTAATAACTGCAATTTTCTCAACGTACGAAATTATGGTGCGGAGATATTTTATTTGTCTTGAAAATGGCATCGCATTATTATCCGCATTGCGAATCTTGTTCGTAAAACGAATATTAGTCTATGTCAACTTTCAGATACGATTTCATGCATTCGTTCAAAGATTCGTGCAAACGTAATACATCGATACAATCCATCGATATAATTATTATCGTTATACATACTGAATGTCCGGCAAGACTCTGCCAAGAGAATTCGAGATCCGCGATGTATGCAGGCACAGGCACAACGAAATTCATCGCATACGTATTAACCACTCCTTCCCTGACGTAGTATAACTCAGCTTCGAGCCCTGAAAGCAAAACAGCAACGCATATCGATCGGTTGATCAATTATGAAGAGGCAATACCAGCCACACACCAACGATAGAGCGAAAGTTTCCGTTCTAAGTACATTCGTCTTCGTGAATCGACCGATCATAGGACACGTGTAAACCTCCCCTTGCCGAGGACATTGACCAGAATGCCGTTTAAAATATACCTCCTACACACGGAGCAAGTTATAAGTACGAGGAGAACGTTATCAAATTTACAAGTTGTAATAAATTTTAGTTTAAATTGCTTCCCTAGTTTCATTAAAGTTTTAGGGCTATCTTATTTTCGTTGTATTATGTTACTGGTTGTACAGATCGGTACATGCGAAACATTTTTCCTTCCAAGTTCGCATTTCACGACTTAATATCATCCGTTTAATTTTACATTACCAATTTCTATGAAGAAGCGAAGAAATTTTTAATAACGTGCATAATATATCGACGGCTAATACGATTTGTGACAGAAGTACGATATTATAGAAACTCGTTGTCAAAGTTTCACGAATAATCAAAATATTTGTATGGTTTCTAAAATAGAAATTCGAACTAGGAGAAATATTACAAAAGTTACTGATCTAACGTTTGAGAATGATTATGTAGAAACGTACATTTCACACACGTACCGTCGATAATAATGTCTAACAATATTTTAATAATAAACTAATTATTACGTTATTTGTGAGAAACAGTTTGGTCCAGAGTTTGATGTTGCGGAATCAAAAACATTCGTATCGTAAAACGAACATGAAATAGGGGTATAAGGGAAATAGGGGTGAAATATAAATAAAAGTTGATGGTTTAGGAATATAAAAAATGTTATCGAACTGAAAAACTAGCGTTGTTTGTGTTCTATAGAAGTTTACAGGAAAGTGCGATAACAACAGGATTATTAACTTTAAGGAACCAGTTAACTCCTAAAAACGGTTGATTTTGAAACATATGCGTCGTATTATATTCGCCGTATGCGTTGATAAGGAAATACGAGACGTGAGTCGTGGTTAGATAAATGAAGTTGGATCGTCTTAAGCAGGCTAACATAAGACGCGACTAGGGCAGGACTGGTAATGCGGCACTATTCTGCGTCCTCCTGCCTGAGGATGTGGGGTCCTACGAAGGTTTCTTCCACGCGGGAAAAAAAGAGAAAAAGAAGAAAAAAGAGAGCAGAGCTAGTACGAAGACGTATATAGTCTGAGTCGTGTAATTTTACCTTATATTCTCTTATTCAATAGTTTACTCGCCTTAAGCGATAGGGTTTGATCTTGAGAGCCATCCTTATCAAAAGCCCCTACAAATATTTCACTTATTAACGTGTTATCGTCCACCTAGAAATACACGTAAAATACAAATCACGTTTATTATTTCAAGACCATTACGATTACCGATAAAATACGATTTCGTACCCAAAGCTCGTACAAGCCGAAAGTATTAAACTAATGGCTTACCGGTATCCACGAAACACGCGTAGTACGAACGTTAATTACAAGGTGTCGTCTAAAAGGCTGTAACAAATCACCCGTAGTTCTGCTATCCAGCCAAGTATAATCTAACACCGTGACGTGTAATTACACGACAAGGGTAAATAATGCGTTCAAAAGTTGCGCAGCTCAATTTTCAGTTTCTGAGTGGTAATTATCCAGAATACCGCGTTACATTTAATCTACGTCTCATTTTATCTCTAAGCCACGGCAACAACGATCCTGGGCGCTCGAGCGGATTCCAACCCGCGTCCTTGACACTATCACTTCGCAAACAATCCGCTCCTGGTAGAAACTTATCCAGCGATTACCGTCGCTACGTTTGCCACGCGATAAGATCGTATCTTGAGGGTATACACTGCGAAATAACCGTGGGTATTTCACAGACGGATTTTGTAACGCGAATCCACCCGAATCCATCCTCTTCTTCTCTCGGTGTTCCACGTTTTTATTTTCTTTTTTCCTTTTTTTCTTTTTCTCGGTTCTCCCGTTCGTCGCGCGTCTTCTGAATTCTGGATCGCGATCTACGAATTTCCGAAGGAAAGCTGGATCGTGCACACGTTTCCCGTCTCTTTCACGGAAAATCTCGTAGACAGAATAGATACAAGACGATCTGAATTTCCTCGGGCGATCGGTACGTCATCCGTCTGGCTTCACGTACGACTAAGCAATTCGATATCAAGCTCGCGACAAGCCCTTTCGAATAAGTATGCATCTCTATTCGTATACACGCGTATGTGTTCGCACATTGCTGCGCTCATAGGAGAAAAAGGTGAGCGATAAGATACCTTTAAGAGTAGGAAATATTCTGGATCTGGAATACGTGTGCATTCCCGGGGAGAAAGGGATGAACGAAGGAGAAAAACGATTCTAAAATCTGGTCGATGTAAAGCACGTCCCGAATGGACTGTCTTTTCGTAGAATATGAATCAGATGATATTTCTCAGTGAACAGTGTTATCGGATACGCTTCCCGCGAGAATAATTTTAAGCAGTTTAAACGACAGGATTTACGTTGAGTGCAACGATTTATATCGAGCTTACGATACGAATGCAGTTACGAGTCCAGTTTCAAGATTAGCTTTGAAATGTAGAGTTTTGATAAAGTTACTTTTATATATTACTATTTTAAGTAATCCTGTCTTTCCTTGCCCCGTCTACAACACGAAGAATACTCTCGAATTTTCAGATCGTCGTTTCCTATGTCCGTCACATTCTCAATAGCCGAGAGTACCATAAACGCGAGTATTATTAGCGACGCGTAACGGTCGAGGATCGCTCGAACGAACTTTTGCGATCCTTACCTAATTTGTCTCACGTTCGTCTAGGTATCGATCATCCTCCTTCCACCAACGGCGTCGCACGGTATTACACGAGTGATACCCAGCGAACACGCTGACTGGATTTTTCTCGCGTTCGGTGAAAACCAGCCAGGCTGCATGTTTTGGAGATTTTCGCTTGGAGCTTGTGAGCTCGGTCGAGTCCGACAAGGCTAGTCTCCTGTAACTTTTCCATTGGACATATCTCAACGATCGCGTTTATGCAGTCGAATATCGGTGAGTAGTCAGTCTGGATAGAGCTTTACATTCGTAAACGTCTCTCAGCGATCAGAGCGAATAATTCGTTTGTCTCCAAGCAGACGTAAAGCAAAAATCATTTGTCCTTCCGTCGGTCGGAGAGTGTAGGTTTCGTTCGAGGATACAAATTGTTCGTATTGTTTCGGCATTTAGCGATAGCAAATCGCGCGTTCATCGATTCGTGAACCTTGCATCAGCATCTGGAGACAGGAAGCGTTCGAAGACTTCTCATTGTTCGGAGAAGAACACCGTTTCGTGTCGTTTGACAATTCATTAGTCGGAACGTTCGCTGCTCTCGCGAATAAGTTAACACGGCGGGTAATAGGTGCAGTGTTATCGTTATCGGCCACATGCGTACACGTACACCATCGCTCTTAGGTAACTGTTTTACTTAAATGATCAGCTATTTCTCAGTAGGTTTACCTATAGCGTGCCGAGAAATTGTTGCGTCTTATAATCGTCGTGTCACCCAGGCACAAAGTGCTGCAGGAAGCAACTTAAGCTACAAAATTGTAGACTGTGTCGCGAGTAAACTACTGGTTCGTTAGGAGTGAATTCTATTGTATAGAGTGGTGATCTGACAGGCTTGGAGGTGCTAATTTGTGGAGCAACACGCGGCGTCGTGACTTTGCGAATTCTGTATCGTAGAATTATTCTGTACCGCAACAATTAGATATCGATAATACATCTTTAATCAAACGTGGGAATTAAACTTTTAGTTTTTACGCGGAATTTGATGGTACAGATAATACGTAGAATGCACACATAATACGCGAAAATATTTACAATGTCCAAGTCCTATTTTTTAAATTATATTCCTAAAAATATGAATTTGCATAAACATCCGCTGTCTACCGATGGAAAAATATACGCGGAGAAATACATTTGACAAGCTGAAACAATTTTAAGCGAAGAAATTTTATATCTTTCAAGTACGTATGATACCTTCTACAAGCTGTGTTCGAATTTATTTTAAATACTCTCTTTTCCTTTAAAACAATCGTTCGTGATATCTTTCTATTCCTATTAAAATATTAATTTACTACTACCGAATATACTATTGTAATAGTATAGTCGATTGTTTGTTACAGATCTAAGAATAAGTCTGACTTTAAACAGACCGTTACTACTGCCGTTTCTTCAAAAAGATCACGTTTCATATCCTGCACGTAGTAAATCTAGCTGTGAAGTTTCCGAATCGATATTTCAAGAAGAAAACTTGAAAGAAAGTAACGTTATCTTACAAAAACCTTCATAATGTTCCGTGATTTATTGCAGAACGTGAAAACGTAACATGAATGAAGAAAATATCGAACGGAACTGTATATATGTATGCGATATATACAAGATACAACGTGGATACAAGGTGAATGTAGAGGATAATACAATTAATATAACTATTTTAGCAACAATTTCCAAAAAAATACATTTGTACAGAAAAATATTGAAGAAATTTTAATTGCGTGTAATTTTGTGATAGTTTGAACTTTGAATGTACGTACACGCGCAGGTTAACGTTATTCTTTATTTTTTAAATAAGATCGTTTCTCGTGTGTGTTGTGTAAAGATAGTGCGTATATCTTAAAATTTAATGCATGTACCTATTAAAATGATCCGATCGAAATCTTTGTAATCTCCATCGAAAAGCTGTGAATCTCGAGCACCAAGCTCGATGTATCGTATAACTTGGAATGAGTCGTATTTATAACGCGGTATTCTATATAATTAGCTTGACATTTTCCGGATATACGAGTACAGCGAAATATTAGTGAGCAAATTTAAGGCGGCGTAGTCGAAGATAAACGTAATAAGAGGATTAAGTAACTTTCTACTTCGTGATGCGTCACTTGCTAACAGAAAGACCAACACTGAGATTCCGATGTGACAGTTTGTCGAATATTAAACCGCATCGAGCATCAAGTTGATCG